TTCAGTGGTGAAAGGTTCATAGGGAACATTAGTGTAGTGTTGACAGTTGTTCGCCGTTTCTTCAATCCATCCAGCATTGTTGTTATGAGTAGCTGGTGTCGAAAGTTGGTTTCCCCAAAACTCATGAATTTCTTCTTGGCTTGGGTAGGATTTATTTATATTTTCTACAGTGGAATTCAGTTTCCTATAGAAAGACTTCTCTGCATGCTCAAAAAGTATATTGTCACATTTCCGGTTGTTACTCACTTTGTATCTCCTTAGGCGACCTGAATAAACGGAGAGTTTTTGTTTTAGTGTGTTCAGGCAGTGTCGAGCTGTGTTGTTTTCTGGATCATGTTGTGAGTGTCTTCCAGTGTTCAGAATTATTTCTTCAGTTCTATTAACTACTTTTTGAGTTCTTACTCCTCGAATGTATGCGTAATTTGTCCAATGTCTCTACGCAGTTATTCAATCTTCCTCAGCAGTCGTTGTTCCCAAGGTGCTATTCTGTTTTCAGTCCTTCCGATATTAGTTCCTCGTCGTGTTCTGATCTTAATGCCCATAACATTAGCAATTGCCGTTGCCGCACAGTAAATTAGCATATGCAAATATTCCAATGTATGGGCTTCCACGATATAATTGGGTAGGACTTCAGCATTCACAATTTGTAACAGCGCTCCTAGTTTCTTCGAAGAGTTTATTTTTGGTAGCGATGGTCTGCTAAGTGGGTTTGTTCCACTAAACTCTTGTACGGCACGTGTCATCTCGTTTACCAGACTATCGTGCAACTCGTTATTCTCTTGTTGTATATTATCAGGTGGAGTTTCTTGGATGAGAAGCTCAGGAATCTGCTCATTAATGATTTCATTAGGGACTTGGTCTACAACTTGCTCTAGGTTATGGATCTCCCGTTCGACTTCGCTTTTGATCATGTCGCGTCTAGTCTCTGGGATAAGATTGTTTCTGATAATTACCCGGTATTGGTCTGCTACTCTTTGTTCAGATACTTGGATTTCTGGGTACTCCCTGCAAAATTCGGCATACAGTTGTTGTCGATAGCCGATCGTTTCTTGACCGAGGTTTGTCACCTTATAATAAAAGCGCAAAATGTTCTCGTTTATAGACACAGTCCATTTCATGCGCTGCCTCGGTCGTCCCGCTTGAGTGAGCGCCGGCTGCACTCAAAATTCACTCATCCCAGATACCTACGGTATCAAAAGGATTGAGCTCTGGTGGGACTCTTTCCATGTTATCGAGTCCTAGGTGACTTGGTACGTCGGTGTATCTCCTAAAAATTTTCGCACGCATCTGGACGTCGAAAGTAGCACAGCTTTCTGCATGACCTTATATAGATGTTCATTTAGACCTAGCTTTTTTATGTTTTCTAGGAGGTTCTTCGGAATGACTCCAGTGGTAGAAAGAATAATAGGTATCGTCTGGCACTGGCCATTTTCCATTGTCTTCTTATTTGTATTTCCAGATCTCTGTACTTAGCGATCTTTTCGTTGTACTTAACACGCAGATTATTGTTGTTAGGTATCGCCACATCGATTAGAGTTGTTTGTCTTGTTAGTTTATTAACTAGCACGAGATCTGGTCTATTATGTGTCTGTGAGCACAGTGCTCACAGACATAGTTTCTTGGTCAATTCATATATCTAACATGTTCTCAATAGTTTTAAAGTCGGTAATCATTCAAACATTATCTAACTGTTTTTCAAATTTCATATAATTTTCCCCTCATAAAAAAAATCCTATTCCAACATTGCTCACCTTCTTTTGATCAACAACTAAATAGCACATTCATATTTCAAATTTTAGATTTATACAAACCGAATCTATTACTACTAAAATACATTTTGTTCAGGGTGCTAGATGCTTCAAGCATAAAGGACCCCTATTATCTCTAATTGTTGATTAACTCCTTTTCTCCTTTAACCATCCCCTCCTTCTTCAGTCTTTTTCTCTATTTCTCATCAAGTCTCTGAGGAACTCAGCCTCTTCAATTTTAAATTAATCACATAGGTTATAACTCTGATTTCTTCAGCCTGTAGATTTTCAATTTACCAAACTTTTTTTGAAAAAGCTATTCATTGTCACCAATTACTAGGTTGTGTGTAGTAGGCGCTAGTTCTACTGCGTTTTCTAGGTCTTTATAAAAGGTTTCCACTTCCTCGTCCGAGTGTGTAGATGTAGGTGTATAGGCTTGAATTATTTTAAGGCTGGTTTTTTTATTAAGCTTCAGTATGGAGAGTATTATTCTTGGGTTGATACCTTTAAGTTGTTGGATATTTTTAGTGTGTCTCTTATGTATAAGAAGTCCAACTCCTCCTATTTTTTCTTTGTTTCCCATATAGAAAAGTTGATGCCCTGATTTAAGAGTTATATAGTCTTCTTCTTTACGTCTTAGTTCACAGAGACCCATAACGTCCCATTTTATGTGTTTTAACTCTTCTTCTAATTCCAGTAATTTTTCTTCAGATGACAGTGTTCTTACATTGTACGTGGCGATATACATTTGTCGTCATCCGTGGTAGCCTGATCTGACCCGGGGATTCTTCGCACCCTCTGTTTGCTGCCTTTCTTGATCGCTACCTTGACCCAGGATCAGCTCACTGCCGGAGACTAAGGGCCGTGTTTTTGTCGTATCAAGCATGCTTGGATTTTAGCCATACTCTACCGCGCTGGCCAGTGCGAGTTGGTAGAGGGTAGGATAAAGGTGTGAGTTTTAAAAGGGGAGAGGTAGGAAAAAGGTACGGGGACCTGGCCCCCTCAGGCAAGGAAGGAGGGAGAACCAGAAGCTAGCATAAGGCAGGGTCACTAATTCCTGACGCAGCCTGTCTTCTACTGGGATTGTAGAAGAGTGCTACCTACCACCTATAAAAAATTATAAATAAATAAAATTATAAGTTTTATGGATTAGCTAATTGCCATATTAGTTTTATTTTAAATAAAGTTAACTGATATAACTCAGTACCAGTATAATATCAGGCACTTTATTGCCATATTCTTTATGTGTATCAGATGCCATTAGGATATTTAAAAAAAACCAGCTAGCGACATGGAAAGATCAATGGAATCTTTACTGCCTTACAAACCAAACAAGATACACCACTTTACAACCAGTTATTCCACAACCTACTTGGTTTAAGAATTTTAAATCTCCACGTAAATATATAACCACTATAAATAGACTACGCTTTGGACATGCGTGTTATTCAAGTCATTTATATAAAATAAATGTGATTGAAGATGATAATTGCAAACATTGCGGAAAACTGGGTGATCTTGATCACATCTTTTTTGAATGCCCTAAGTTTCAACAGCATTCAAACTCTCTCTACAAAAAATTAATCGAATTTAATATGTATGCACCATTCAATATTCAGTCGCTACTGGCGACAGGCTCACAAAATATATATAATATCATTATAGATTTCTTGTCAGACACATGCATGGTTCTATAGAATTTGTACTCGAGCATGAAATTTTTCATGATCGTGTGGAAATTTAGATTTGTATCCTTTGTTTACCCTAAATGTTATAACACCTTATCCGTGGTCCAGTTTTGTTTGTCTACTAAGAATGTCTTGATGGGCCCCTAGACGAGAAGCAAGTGACCCTGTAAGTTTCCTTGTCGTATATTCTTCTATTAATTATCCGTTAGTTTTCGATTAGGGATAGAGTTGTGCATTTGTCTGATTGGAGAATCTATTGCAACTGGCTGAATGACTAATGTCAATGCCATTAAAAAAAAAAAAAAAAAAAAAAAAAAAGTATTATCCTTTTCGGACATTTGGTACATAACCATAAATCTGATTTGTTTTTTTAAAGTTAACCTCAATGTAACCTCCGTAGAAAATTTAGATAATTTTCATTTCTAATAATTATTTAAATAATTTGTAAAATTGTTAAAACTGTCGACCAACTTGTAAGGTTTGTTGATAAATTTTGTTAATATTATTTGTAATAACTGTTGATGTGAAGTAATAATAAATATGTAATATTTCTCTCTAAACCAGGAGTTGTAGAATTATTTTTTTTTAAGATTTTCATCCTTTAATATTTTTTTTATCAAAGAAAAGTCTTTTTTTTCCATGAAGTAAGAAGATTTTTTTAAACGGCATCCATTTCAAATAGTTTAGGAACCTTTTTGTGTGTGTTGTCCAGGAAATCAATGTAAATATTTTTTTGATTTCTCCCTTTGTAGTTAAAAGAATTACTCAGTCCCCACTTTCAACCCCCTATACATAATACCCAATGTGGTAGTCAAATTAGTTCGTTACACCTTCAAAACTTGTATCTGTTTAAAAAATAGTAGCATTTAAAAATGATATTGAATAATTCAATGTTCAGTCGAAGCAGACACCCAAATAGCATTTTAAAAAAAAAGTATATTGAACAATTCAATGGTCAGTCGCAACAGAAAAGCTTAAAAAAAAATAAATAGTTTTTATGTTTACGAGTAAATTTGCTTTTACTAGCTTTCTCGGAACTAGAAAAGAACTTCCAGTTTTACTAATATGACATGCTTAAATGGAATCAGTTACTACTGTGTCTATATCTCTTATAGTTTTGACTGCACTAATCCTTGGATGGACAGAAATGGGCCGGGAGGACGGGACGATAGAAACTTCTTCTTACGGTGCCTATCCGTTCCGGATGTTGGCGATCAGCAGGGCTAGCCTAACTTTGCTAGCAGTTATTCGGAATAGTAAGGCTGTAGACGTATTTAATCACTTTTTCAGGTTTTGAAGCCAAGATATTATTCTTCTTCCTGGTACGCTCTTTCCAAATATCTTGCCCTCAAGAATGAGTTGCAACAAGCTTAGATATTCTAATTTGGGCTCTTTAATTTGGTCTCTTGCACTGAAAGCTTACAGATTAAAATTTTTCTTTAATATATTTTTTATTTACATCCAATTCTAAAGAATACGTAGTTATAATAAATTGTAGTTTTAATATACGCATACCAATCAATTTGTAGTAAATATATACATAATAATAAATTCCCTATTTTTTAGCAAACTGCCTTACGAAAACGAAACGAAATACGAGGCATTTATCTAAAAATACCTTTTCCTCTAAACTTTAAAATATATTTCTTTAATGTGACAAACCCAATGGAAGTACACAATGGTGCAACTCCAATACTTCAACAAGTGGGGCCATACTATTATGAGTAAGTATATCTGTGTATCTAAGTATAGCTATTTAAGATTATCGAGGCCGTTAACACCATCAAACGTTTTATGAAATTTGAAAAGTTAAAATTTTAAGTTTATATCGGAGTAAATTCGGGAAGAATTTTAATTCCTACGCAATAATCTTGTGAATGATTTTGGAAAAGTGAAGTAACTATATAACTGTAACTATATATAACGTATATAACTATATATAACGAAATATTTAGTAGCTTCTTTACCAACCTGCATGACGTGTGTATACCCTCATATGTGCTAAATTATATGATTGGGATAGAACTGATTTATGTAAATTTGATTCAATAATTCTACAATATTGTAAGCATGTCAAGTGATCTGTTGAAATCTTAACGATTATAATGTTTTTTTTTTAAATACTTGTAAATGTTTGTTGTTGCAAAGGCATTTGATTTGGCCTAGCCTAGAGAATGATTGTGGCCAGTGTGGCTTGGGCAACTCAGGTTGCCATCGTGTAGGTGCTGGTATGTGTGTTAAATTGTGTCTCCGCGTCTGCGAAGTGACAGATGATTTGTTAGATGATAAAAAATAATTCTGAGATTTTTGGAGATGTCTAATATTATTTTATTGCTGACCTGCTAGACCTTCCTAAAATGTAGTTAAAACTTTCTGTTGAAAAAATTATTTTTTACTTCACGCTACTTCCTTATATTCTATGTGTCATTTAATGTGATTTGAAAGATATAGTATTGAGAATACACATGATTTATTTTTATGGAATTAATGAGGGTTTTTATTTGGGGCTTGATGAAAATGAAGTAAATGGCTAGTTAATGAATTTTCATTACGTTGGTTTGCAAAATATTGAACAAGGATTGTTTTTATTGACGGTCAGTCTTTGGAGCCGTATACAGTAATAATTTGTCTGGCTCTTCCTTTAACTTAACTTCTTCGTTTAAATAATTGATGGATTCGACCGTTACTTAAAGAAAGTACATTAGAGAAAATAATTAGGGAGTCAAAAGTCAACACCAGAGGAACAATAATAACAATAAGTGTACAAATATTGGCATTTGCAGATGATGTTGATATCATAGCTAGAAGTGAAAAAGAGATGATAGAAGTATTGAATGCGATAGAAAAAGCGGCACAAAACAGTGGCCTAAACATTAACAAAATAAAAACCAAATACATGAAGGCCAGTAAATCGACAGGCCAAAGAAACCTAATAGTCTCGTATTGTCGGAGTCTGACAATACGAGACTATAACATCGAAAGCGTGAAATGTTTTACATATCTAGGTTCACTAGTTACCGCAGATAATAATATCAGTGAAGAAGTTAAGAGAAGAATACATATCGCTTCTTCTTCTTCTTCTTAAGGTGCCGTGCATTTCTGCATAGGCGTCCACCGTACATCGTCTTGTCAGGTGAGATGTTAAATATTCAGGATTAAATAATTCTGTTTTTAGCGGCATTTCGAAGCATTTCATAGCTGTAGATTCCTGTCCATTGTCGAATATTGCGCAGCCATGACATCTTTTTACGTCCCAGACCTGTCCTACCCTATATCTTCCCTTCTTCCCTATTTGCGATCAGTCAGAAACTTACGAAGCCTCAAAAAAGCATTTCTGGCTTGTTCAACTCTGCTCTTTATTTCATTCTCGGGGTCCCAATCCTCGTTCAGCAAACAACCCTTTTTGAATTGCCTGACCTGTTCAATTTCTTCTCCAGAGACATATATCTTTGCGTTGGAGTAATCATTTCTACTTATAATCATTGTTTTTGTCTTCTTAATATTTATTTTCAAACCCCGAGCTTCACTTGCAAGGGTTAGATTATTTAAAAGGCATTGAAGATCTTCGATGTTATCTGCCACTATGGCTGTATCATTGGCATACCTGATGTTATTAATAAATATGCCGGTAACTTTTATACCCTTATTAGAGTCTGCCACTGCTTCTGTGAAGGTTTTTTCTTCGTATAAATTGAACAGCACTGGAGGCAGTATACAACCTTGCCTTACTCCTTTTTTAATGGAGAAATCTTCTGTTTCGTTGAAATTTTGAAGACGAACTGTTGCTGTCTGGTTCCAATACAGATTGGCGATATTTCTTATATCCTTGGCATCCCATCTCTAATACATATCGCTAATAAAACACATAATGGACTAATTAAACATCTTAAATCTAACATCACAAGAAAACCCAAATGCAAAATATACAAGACCCTGTAAAACCGGTCCTTGTATATGGATCAGAGACGTGAACATTGTCGAAAAGCGATGAAAACCTATTAGGTACATTTGAACGAAAAATCCTTAGACACATAAGGGGCTAAAGGAAAATGACATATGACGCAGAAGATATAACTTTGAACTAAACACAGGATACAATGAACCCGAGATCGTAACATCCATAAAGATCGGACGTTTGCGCTGGATGGGCCATGTTAAACGGATGTTGGAGACTGAAACACCAAAACATATAATGAGGCAAACACTAGTAGGGAGAAGATCAAAGGGAAAACCCAAACTTAGATATATGGAACAAGTGGAACAAGATCTGAAAACAAGTAAGATTACCAACTGGAAAAACAAAGCAAAGATCAGAACAGAATGGCGGAAAATCCTAGAACAAGCGAGGACCCAGAAAGGGTTATCGAGCTACTGATGATGATGATGATGATGATGCTTGTAAAATATATTGTAATCAGAAACAAGATGAAATTAAAGGATGGTAGCCAGGTATAGGAGGATGCTGGGATGCATTTCTTTTAGGTATGGTTTTCTTTTTTCTTTAAGTTTCTTTTCTAATTTCTTTATAATTATTTTTATGTTCCAATTTCTATGAAATCTGCAGGTTAAACTGTTGTAGCTTTTTCTAGATATTAATTCGGTAGCGGTTAAATATTTGAAGACTACAAGAATCTTAGAGAAAAGATTGTTACTTTTGAGGGAACTTTTTAAAAAGGCGCTTTTAAAGGTACAAATAACAAAGTAACAGCACTTTTATTAATTAAGTGACAATTGGTATTTTCAACAGATACTAACAATATTTTTATGAAATTAATAGATGACAACACGAAACTGCGATCGGCTGGGTTATTGGACTTTAAAATTGCTGGATACCTTAATTCATTGTTTCATGTCTTGCTCGCCAGATGTGATATAGCCATCTAATTCTACATTGCTTTATTTTGGTCACGATATCTCCTTTCAGTACTTTTTAGTATCTGCATTTGTTCTGCTTCTGTATTCATTTTCTGCTTCTAGTACCCATTCTAATGCTAGACTAAATAGTGTTATGGATAAATAATCATCTTGTTTCACCCGTTTATTTATAATTATTTGATGTCTTGTCCTTTGCGTCTTTATACCTAATTGAAGTCGACAAATAGCATTTCCAATTCAAATTTCTATTCATTTGGTTTTTCCATTAGTGGTTTTATTTTATGTATTGCATCTATTGTTGATCTTTCTTCTGTGAATTTAGCTTTTAATTTAATAAAGATAAATTGATGTTTTGTCATGTAACGATCAGTTTCAATATCATTTAAGAATTAAAAATACATAAAGATCATGAAACAATGAAAAATGATTTAAATATTATTTCTATAAAAATTAATTTCTTAGAACACAATCTATAAAAAAATTATGGAATAGACGTCTTCATAAAAATTATAGAATTCCATTTTTTTTTAATTCCCAGTATATTTCCGAAATGACAAATTTGATTAAGGCAAATTATCTGTATCCTGTTGTTGAGTGAAAATAATTTATTTGCTCCAAAGTTTAGTGTATATTAACGGTTTTCAACCAATAATAAAAATGATTACCATCTCCAACGTGCTTTATGAGTTTTGACTAATTAATAACAGTACTCACGAATCCACTTGCTTATTAAAATATTTTAATCATAGATTAGCTTCGAGTTTAGCCTTATCTAGTCGAATTAATAAATTGTTATTAAAATGGTTAAGAAAGAGTTGGGCATTATTTGTGAAGACCTTGATCTGCTACATAACCATATGATTAGTTTACTATACATACTTAAAATATTCAAATCGTTTAATAAGATTTAATATTAATTTAATTACACCAGTATTATAAACACTATAGTAAAAATCTTGGTAAAATAGAATAGGTATGATGCATTTCAAAAAGGTTCTGAAAGTGTTTTCTTGTGGTACGTCTAGGTTAAAATATTATGTTTATATGGAATTCAGTCACAATTGATTGTAATCATATTTTTAACTAATATTTGACGTTTCGATTTCCATTAAAGAAATCGATTTAAAAAAAATCATTTAATAATAATTGTGTCAAAAGAGTGTAACTAATGACGTATAATATATAAACCCAGCAGTCGGGTAAGCTTACTATATATAATCGGGTGTCACAGAGACCTATCCCTTGAAAGTTAAAGGTATTTTTACTACAACAATGGGGTGCTGGTTTATTTTTGAGTTTTTTTTTTTCGTCGAAAGAAAATCTCTGAAAAAAAAAGTGGTTAGAAAAATTATATTTAAGTTAATAAGAAAAAACATTAAAATTGTTAAGTATTTAGCATAATGAATAATAATTTATTTATTAAATAAACTAAGTGCCTCCACTATCAACCTATAACCTAATATTTCTTCTTCTTTTTCTTCTTCTTTTGAGATATGTCCTAGACAATTTACCGTTTACTTGGGGGGTAGACACTTTTTGTCTTGACACGCTTCAGCAATTCAGCAATCAGTGTCCACCTACACTTATATTATTCATTTGTTTGTTTTGGATTATTCTACATGTATACTTGTGTTGGTATTTTTTTTCTTTATATTCTTTACAGGCTAAAATTTTAGTAAGACTACACAACAAAGGTATAAACTTTTCTCGCTCGGGGGTAGCCTCCAAGCTTTGCACACACCATAAATGCTACCGAAGGATAAAGTAGAAGCACTCAGGACTGAAAGAAGGAAGATCATAGTTTACAATTTAATATTGAAGGTAGAAATAAAGTTACATGAGGTGTTTA